AAAAGATGGAATGAAATGATCACTCTCACAACATTGCTAGGAACGCAATGAGTTAGAGATATTTTAGGCACATTGTCAATAATACTTATAATTTTTACAGTTCATACTTTTTGGGAGAAGTGGGTAAGACAAGATTTCACTACATAGTTCAGACTAGTCTTAAACTCAGAATTTTCCTGCCTCAGCCTCCAGTGTGCTGGGATGATAGGCATGTACCCTCATACATGGATATAAAAAGTACACATTGTTAACCTAACAACTTTACTTAGATACTATTCCTATAGAAATGAGCACATACAATTGCACCTGTATTTACTGTATCTTTGTTTTAAACAAAATAACTGAAGTATTCATGAAAGAGCATTTCATTATGTAAATATTTTATGGTAGAAGAATTTGTTACACTGCCTCATGATTATTAACCTCTAAGACTAGAGTAAGGAATCCACTTGCAGTTACAATGCTGTAGCTTTAGTAGACCAATGCTCTACAGAATGACAAGAGAAATAGGTTCATAGTCACGAAGTTATGATTTGAACATGCAATATCCCTCCCATGTCTCCTATGCTGAATTCTTGGTCACTGGCTATTGTCATGATTTGGGGGTTGCTGGGAACTTTGCTGGTGGACCTAGTTAAGTAGAAGTAGCTCATTGAAGGCAGGGCTTTGAAGGCCTGGAACCAAGCAATCATGGACTGAAACTGTGTTATGTGCGAAATTCTGTTCCAGCACTGAGACAACTATCCAATACACCCACACATGATTCATTAGTGGCATTTAAAGTAGAGCCTACAAAGGATTTATTAACAATATTCATCTCTTTTTTTTTTTTTTGTCGGGCCTGAACTCTGGGCCTAGGTGCTGTCCCTCAGCTCTTCAGTTGAAGGCTAGTGCTCTACCACTTGAGCCACAGTGCCACTTCTGGCTTTTTCTGTTTAATGTGGTGCTGAGGAATCAAACCCAGGGCCTCATGCATGCAAGGCAAGCACTCTACCACTGAGCTCCCTTCCCAGCCCCAATATTTTTCTCTTTCAATAGTTCTCATTTAGAAGATCTTTAGATTGAAAAATGAGCATTGTTACCTATTTGAGACAAAAAAATAACAAATATTCAAAATGAAACACCCAGTTAGCTAACATTTTCACATTCCCATAGAGATGCTCCAGAATGGCAGTGGGGCTGACAGCACTACCTTTTGAAGTACCAAGGAGCTGTGAGTTCTGGGGCTCAGGATAGAGCAGGAAACAGGGCTTAGGTGAGTAGGTCCTTCACTCCGCTTGTAGCAAAGGAGCAGCTTTTGTCCAGTTTTCTGGAAACATTCTTTGAGCAAAAGACAAAAGCTCAGGAGGGCAGAAGCTGCTCAACCTCATCCTGGAGAACACATGCAGTGTGGGATCCTAGTCTCCATGTTCTTGTGATATTGTACATAACAAAGCCACAAAGGATAATGACTGCTTCTTTTCATACCTTAGTTCTCTATAAGTTTACTCTCAAAGTTAAGATTCGAGAACCAAGACACAGGGTTTATCTGATTTGGGAAAGGGAAGGGGTATAACAAAATGGAGAGACAAAGCACAAGGGTGAACCAATGCAACAACAATACTCATAAGACACTATATTGGAAATGAACTTTACAACTTGGGTGGAGGAGTCAGGGCAGGGAAAGTAGGAGACAAATGAGAGAGAGGATAACAATGTTCAAGAAGAAATGTACTCATTACCTTACTTATGTAACCCCTCTGTCCATCACCTTTATAATTAAATTAAATTTAAAAAGATTAGGGAAGCAAACTTCTTTTATCTAACAAAGATTATTTTTTAGTTAATCACGCTTTCTTTAACAAATATATCATTAGAAAGCAATTAAGACTTTTACTCAATCACAGTTCTATGACTTGAACTCAGGACTTTCAAATACTACCACTTCAGCCATACCTTCAATTTCAGCTTTTTGCTAATTAACTGGAGATTAGAGTCTCACATTTCTCTGAACTAGCTGACCATGATCCTCAGATCAGAGCCTCCTGAGCAGCTAGTATAGACATGAGCCACTGGCACCTGTTTTCCAAGATCTCTTTTTAAATATTATAAAGAAAAGGATCTTGAAGAACATTAAGAGCCACCAAGAATTATACTTGAATACTGAAATGAGTAGTTTAGTTTGCTCATACTCACACCCTTTTGTCCACTGACTATTCAATATTCCTTTTCTCTTTAGAAAAGTGGTACAGGTAATTGTATTGGAGCTAATCAGCAATGCAAGCCAACTGAACTACTCACTGCACTTCTGTCCAGCTCAGGAGGTAATTTTTAAAGGATTCTTCCTTGTATTTATCAGACATATTTATTTCAAGTAAAATGCTCCAGAACATAGGCATGATGCTAAGTACCAGTGGCTCACATGTGTAATCCTAAATACTCACTCGGGCAGGGAGGATTGCCTTTGAATGCTGTAAGGTCAGGGGAAGGGAAGGCAGAACAGAATCCTCCTTCCTCTTGGCTAAGTCTCCACCCAATACCCATGTCACCTAGGTAACTGGCTCACCTGGGCAGTCACCTCCCCCTCTGCCAAGGTCACATCCTGGGCTGCCCCTGATCACACCTACCATCCTCCCATCAGACCTGATGTGGGTCCCAGGGCCTACATTCACATCTAAATCCAGTGTGGCCACACCTTCCTTCACCATGTCATCCTTCCCCCGCCCTTCCCTACTTAAACCCAGGTGGGACTTTGGCCAGCTTGCTTTCGGCCAAATGGTTTCTACCATGCATGGTGACCACAGGGCAGGCAGTTTGGAATAAACTCTTCCTGCCTGAATACCGGGTGGTGTTCTCTTTATCCACTACCTAATTCAACCTACCTACTTTAATTTACCTAACAGTTGCCAGCCCTCATAGAAAAGTTTAGAAAAGGCCCTATCTCAAAATCAGCAAAAATAGGGCTGGAGGTGTGGCTCAAGTGGCAGAGTTTCAGCCTAGCAAGCTTGAGGCTCTGAGTTCAAACACCAGTACTGCCAAAATTAATGAATAATTAATTATATGAATTAACCAAATAGACATGGTTAGAAAAAATTCTGAAAACATGCCCAAGGTAAGAAAGTCCTTATCTTCTGTGTACACATATGTATTGTGCATATGATCTGGAAGAATCCATGGGATGCAATCTATTGTCTCAAAGGAAACAGGGAAGACACATTTAGGCTTTCATTTTCCTTAAAAACAAAACAAAACAAAAACCAAGACTCCAAATAAATGCAGAAGGCGTACTTTTCAACTTATGCCCAGACGTAAATACAAAAAGGAAACTGAAAGATAAAGGCATAGAAAAAGAAAGGGAAATATGATGTAATCATGTGAGGTCACTGTGGTAACATATGTAGTGTCAATTTTCTTTTTGTTTGAGCAAATGAGGTTGATTATAACAACAGGCATCAGTCTGATACGGGACACAGCACTTTGGGTGTCAGGCTAGAAAACAGGTGCGAATAAGTAAAGCCTATAAATTCCCATGCAGCAGGGCTGACTCTTGACTGCACTCCACTGAGGGTGCATCTGAGACCCACAGCATTCATATGCTCCCTGCACATCCAGACAACACTGACGGTTCTATTCCCCTAGACCTTGGCTGTTAGGAAATCAAAACATTTAAATTAGCACAGAGAATGCAGGAAGCAATAATAGCATATGGGTATAAACTTTTCACAAGTAATGCTGAAAAGAACAAGTTTAGAAATTTCATCTTTCAACATTACGCAAATGCACTTTGCTAGAGATATTTTCTATTTTGGTCAGGATGATCCTCATTACTACTTTTACTATGTGAACTACAAAATTGTGTATCTGTTTTAACAGGAACATATACATAATTACTCAGTGCAGAAATTTTCAAAAGTGTCAAAATATGAATTAAAACACTGACATTTTTTTAAAGGCTTTTTCTGTGGTTCCAAAATATGCTGCTTATGGAATGAAGGCGTTGTTAAAATGGATGAGAACATTTGTATGGAGGAGTTTCTAAAATACCAGTTGTTTATTTAAAGCAAGCAGGTTATAATACATAGAAATTCTCCTGATGAGAGAGAACCATGTAGCTGCACAATGAAAGCCAAGAAACTTGTCCTCCAATAGGTGAGGAAAACCCATTACTCTTTGTCATTGAGATAAAGTCAAGAGATCTTCCAACTCTCGGCTGAGCTTTGTGCTTACTGAAATGAGTAGTTTAGTTTGCTCATACACCTCACACCCTTTTGCCCAGTGACTGCTCAATACTTTTAAGAAAAGTGGGGCAGGTAATTGTATTGGAGCTAATCAGCAATGCAAGCCAACTGAACTATTCACTGCACTTCTGTCCAGCTCAGCAGAAAACTCACCAATTTTCCTCTGTCATGATGTTCTGAGAGATACTAACTTACATAACTACTGCAGCTAAAGATGTAGGACACTAGTTACAAATGACCAATGTTTTCATCTGGCCAGAGCAAAATACTGGCCCTAAAATAAGACAGCCAAGGGAAAACAGACTTGTTCGCTTGCTACCCACAGGACCTAGTGCCGCATTCTATCCATATTGAACATTCACTGGGAAGAGACACAATTGAATGGAAATATGGGATTCTTCTCCCTACACTCAAATTTCTTATCTCTTGCCAAACTTACTGATGATGTATATCAAAGTGAAAGACCCCTAGCTTCTCCCTCCGGCGGCTTCTGCAGAGAGATGTTTGAACACATAGCCAGATTTCAACAGTTTCATATCTGTCCTCCCAGAATAAGGATCACAGAGATGACAATTTGGTCCTTTTCCTTTTAAAAATAAGAAAATTCATGGCAGTAAAGTAACAGAATCTATTTATAAGTTTAGGACCAGATCACAAGACTCTTGGTTCTTTTCCTCCACCTTCTTTCTCTATCAGAATAATAAAGCCAAACAGTCAAGCAGATAAGACATTTGGGACAACAACAACAACAACAAAAAAACATATTCTGCAGTTTGTTTTTACCTCTGAAAAGATTCTCCAAGTCAACATCTTCTTTTCCTTTGATTTTCAAACACTTTGCCTGCTGTACAAGCCTGGCAAGAACAGAAATAAAATCTAGATTCATTATCCTGTGAGGTAGGAATAAATCATGATAACAGCATAAACTTAAATTGAAATCACAGGAAAAATGATAGTGAATTCGTGAACACGGGCTTGTTAAAATTGTTTTGCAGTTTAAGATTTTTAAAATATGTGTATTTTTTCAGGCACTTTAAAAACTTGAAACTTGTAAGTCTTGCCCTGCTTTCATTCTGTTGTAATAAGAAATTTCTATGTTTCCCAGGAGAATACTCTGTTCAGATTCTGAGCAGGAACTATCCAGGATAGTGGGTGCTGGGGTGGTAGATGGGTAAATAATTGCTCCCGATGATGTTGGCACTTACTATTTTAATCAGAAGATTACAGACATTGTGCTCAAACAACTGGGTAAAGTAATTTAGTTACATTGCTGAATGTCAGAGAATTAATTAACTTTTCAAGGGTTGTGTTATGCAGCAGGGGCTAACTTTGTAACTTAACATGATACTTCATTGACACTTTAGGCTCATACTCCATAATAATGATGGAACTTACTAAAATAAAACTTTTACTAAATAAATTATAATACTTTGCTTCGCAAATTGATTTCCTTTCTGCAGAGAACTGCTTTCTCTCATTTTATCCTCAATGATGAGCCTTGGAGTTGGTCGTGGAAATATGATTTCAATTTGGTGGCAGATGAAGAAATCCAATTAATTGCCAACACCTTACATAGTAACCTAATAGGTATGTACATGAATTGAGATCATTTTATGTATATGTTGTATAAGCACATATATCATTGCAGAAATACATTCTGGGATAGTTAGATGTAAGTTACATATCTATCAATATTCTATCTCTTAATTATTAAGACTCTATGAAAAGAAAGCATCTCTTTAGAAATTCCACCTTTGGAATGGACCTGTGTTCGTTCTGCCTGGTTGCATTGGAGCACCTCCTCCCCAGACTGGTAAATAATTATGGTATGGAAGAGAGATATATAAATGATGCAGGGATGTTTGCATTGATGTCTAGGATCCAGCTTCTAGGACTGCGACCCACAGTAGATGTTTAAACACAGAGTGTTTAGCAGTAGCAACTGCTTTGTATGGTTCCGAGTAATTAGTGAAATAATACATTTTAATAATGGTGTAAAAGAACTCCCTATGTATTCAAATCTGTAGAATATTTTTCATTAATTCAATAACATCATTTTCAGTGTATTCTCTATGTATGTATATTATAAGGCCTTCATTATATCCTTATAAAAGAGAATATAAATGATAGATCTGGATTATACTTAGGTGGTGAGCATCAGGTCAGCATGGAGTACCAGAGACACACAGCTCCTGTACTAGGTCTCACAGAGTAGCCATTTTACAAAGAATATGGGAAAATGATAATAAAGAACAGAGATTCTGGGGCTGGCCAAACTTAAAATATTTACTGTGTGACTCAGAGTTTGCTGACCCCTGTTCTAGACAAAGAGCAAGAGGTTTATAAAGTTTAAACCAATGCATCACATGTGATTAGTTTTACTGCTGCTTTTCCTTCCACATTGCCCAAGCAACCTCATAGATTTAGAACATATAATAAGACTTGTAAGGCAGGCATCAGGCCCTTACTCCCTTTGTCCTTAGGTGAATTCTCCAAGTCTAACCAATCAACATCGTTAAGGGTTTCCTAACTGTAGGTTGCATTGTTTCATGGGAGAGTCTTGTCCTGCTGGCTTTTACACACAGCAGACTGAAAAAAAATAGCTTCATCAAATAGGCAATTTTTAGAAGGAACTACAGGATATAAAGCAAGAGGGGATTTTTCTCATGGGTGAGAGACACTCAGCAACGCTTTCAGGTGATGGTTTGAGATGCGCCTCAGAACAGAGGAACCTCAGTGGGGTAGATATTTGGGGGGGGGATGAAGGGAGTAAGAGTTAAGTGGTGGGGGAACAGAGACATGTGGAACTGGACACAGATAATTTCAACTACAATAACATTCTTCCTCCATTTCCATGTATGTATATCTGGATAAGCAAATTCATCCATTTAACAGCCAAATGACCAAGAATCCGTAGGAGTCAATCATTTTCAGGAATCATCTAATTGTAGTTTGTAAACAAGTAGTAGTTAAGCCTTTAGAAATGTGACAGTATAATGCATCTTCAAATAAAGGTATCCATGTGAAAATGCTCAATGAGGCATTTTCTACAAGAAAAAAAAATACCGGAAAATACTTGTCAATAGGAGAAACAGGGCTAATGAGTTAAGGTATGGAATACAATAAATACACTTGTCAAAAATAATGCATTAGTTCCCTTTCTGCTGACACGGTAATACAGTCATGAATATCCTTAAATAAAAGAAAATGTGTTGAAGATTAACAAAAAATTATATGAATACTTGTTAAAAATTTTATTTTATTGTAAAGATGCTAAGTTACATGAGTAAGGTAATGAGTACTCTTGTCAATACTTTTAAAGGTGGAAGTATGCAGGTACACACTCATATGCAAATGTAGACATGAAAATAAGGAGGTATAATAGTGTGGGTGACAGTGTTAACACTAGCAACCTCAATTTAAATCCTCCAAGCTGAGCCATAGGGAGGGAGAGGGGTTGGTCATGGGGCTTGAACTCTGGGGCTGAGTGCTGTGCCTATGCTCTTCAGCTCAAGGCCAGCGCTCTACCACTTGAGCCACAGTGCCACTTCTGGTTTTCTGGTGGTTAATTAGAGATAAGAGTCTCAAGGACTTTCCTGCTCCGGCTGGCTTTGAACCACAATCCTCAGATCTCAGCCTCCAGAGTAGCTAAGATTATAGACGTGAGCCACTATCACCCAGCTAGAAATTCTTAATTTTTAAACCCTGTATATTTCTTAAATTATTTCAATGGACATTTTCTTAAAATTTTACAAGTCTCTTAAGTTATGCTGTTTGATTGAAAAAGACCTGGTTATTATTAACGTTTTTAATTTTTACTCATTTCCATTTCCTGTTTTCCTTCTAATAAACAGGTACCACTTTAGTAATGGGCACAAAATCATGTTAGATGCCCCAACTTTACTATTTTAGTGAACAGAAAATACTTATTTTAGAGCCAGATAATGAAGATGAGAAATAAAAAAAATTCTGCTAGTGCTCAGGAAGCAGAGATTTTTCCTTTTTTTTTTCTGGGTGCAGGAACACTAATATTTCCTTTATGCGAGAGGAACCATGCAGATTTAGGACACAATGTTCTACAGAATTTAATTACTAAGAGCCTGGGCCAAGGCAGGATTCCAGAAATCCAAAGATTCACAATAAATTATGTACTGTCTTATGAGGATCAACTCAGAAAAAAAAAATGTATTTTTCAAGACCCTACTAAGGCATAGCTTGGTTATTTGCTATCATTTCACCAGAACTGTGCATTTGTTTAAGAAGCCAGAGCTACGATGAAGGGGCTGAAGGACATAGCAGAGGGACCAAAAGAAGTTAGGTAGGGCCTTGGGTGGTATTGCAGTTTCTAAGTTCCTCAGTTGATCGTGACACTACCGATTTCATTTTAATCCGCAAAATGTTCAGCAGAACCCTTTTCTCCTTTCCTGAATGGCTTGGGCCTACTTTCTGACTTGAGGACTCTGACAAGTAACTGCTGTCATTATAACACCTTGTGTGACTTTGTCATGGCACTTACTACAACCTGTGGACATTCTCTTCTTTGGTATTTTATTTCCTTTCTTCCTGCATCCATCCCATTGGCTTATTTCCATATGGCTAGCATCTTGCACACTGTTTTCTATCACTGTGGCCCCATCAGAGTCTCTGGGTACACTTGCTGAATGACAACATGCCCTATTGACAAGTCCATGGGGACTGAAGCCACCTACCTGTGTTAGGGTAGTTTTCTTAATTACTAAAAACAGAACAGACTGACTAAGGATTTCTGCATGATTGCTCACTGCTGTTTTACCAGAGTTTGGAATGGTACCATTCTAAATATTTATCTAACAGATGAAGGTTGAAAGGGATGAATGGATACCTCTAATTTTAGGATCTGGCAACAGTAATGATCCTGAAATTCAGAGAGGTAAGTATTATTAGATATCCAAATGACAAAAGTCAATCGTGTTCTGAGTTTCAAACACTGGCTAGTAGTGGTATGAAATCACAAAGCAGAACTATAGCAGGGAGGCAGAGAGAGCTTCAAGTTACAACCACCAACAGGGCCAATGAGAGAACTCAGCTCTTCGTCTCTGGACTCCTTTCTACACTTAGTGCTTTTAACACTGGAAAGTTCCCAGATTATTCCATCTGGTTAGAGGCTTCTTGCTGTCCAGCTGCGGGGGAGGAGAGAAAGGGGTCTCTGAGTGTCCAAAGGGTTATACTATCTAGGTACAATCTCCAGAAGAAGGATCTTGCTTTCAGAAGGATCCTGGGTATCCTAGTCATGCTTGGATCATGCTTTCTTTCTACAGGCTGATTGCTACCTCAGACTAAATAAATGAAGGTCTGGATTCTTATGCTGGATGTCAAGATGAGTAGTATATACCCAGCTAGAACTTGTTAGAAAACAAGACTTTTAAATCAACATTTTTAAAGTCAATTCAGTAAAAGGATCTGGAGCTATTATTTCAATAGGCTCTAAGTATTGTCAGGCCTATATTCATATCTATATGCCTAAATTAAAAAATCTAACACGAGAGCTCACATGTATATCCAATACATCCTGTACATCATGTATAGGCAAAGGAGGAAAATTATTTATAACTGACTGAACAAACTCAAACATACTAAGAATTTGCAGTATCAACAGTAATGAGAAAAAAAACAACAACACAAACTTAAAAAAGAAAACACTGGTGCATCCCTTTGGCAGTCCATAGCTTTTTAAGAAAATGAGGCACTTATACAAAAAGTATTAAAAATAATACATGAAGACACAAAAATAAGCTGTCCTGTGTGGTTCAGACCAAAAGGCCAGAGGAGTACTGAGGGCAGGGGTAAAGCTGGCTTCTTCTAAAGTCTGCATCCC